GTTTTGAAGTCTGGAACTTCAAAAGTGAAAGATAAATTCAGGAAATGAATGAATGGTCAAAAATGGGGTACCAAAGAATAAGATCTTAATTTCTGGACTAGAAATTAAAATATGGGAATGATGATCTGGGATAGAATTCATCTAACTTGGGCTTATAAAAATGAAGATTTCATGGAGACCTCTGGATTTGATCAAATGTTCTGAACTGAAAAGAAATGGAAAGGGAAAAATGATTATAACTCATTATAGAAAACTGATTATATTACATAAGTCATATGCTATAAAGAGTAGTAGGTACAACATAGAAAGAAGTAAATAAGAGAGGATTAGTAAATTACAAGAGATGAGATTCAAAGACAGGGATAATAATTCATGGCCAAAGATGTCTATATACAAAACAGCCAGAATATGAGTAATTATTAAAGTGAGCTAGAGGTCTTAATTCAAGGAGATCTACTCAGTATCACAGCATCACAGAATCTCAAAGTTAAAAGGAATTCAGAGGGTATCTAGTCTAACCTCTGTGAAGGATTTACTTCATAACTTCAAAGCATCATAGACTCAGAGCTGGAAGGAACCAAAGAGGTCATTACGTCTAACCTCTTCATGTTGTAAATGGAAAAAATGAGGTGTAGAGAGGACAAGTTGGAGATAAATATTCAAAAAAGTAGCTTTGCCTAGCAAGCTGTAGTCAGTGAAATAAAAAAAATGGAATGTGTTTTAGCAGGGAAAGTGAAATGCATACATAAAATGTTTTTTGGTTGGCTAAGGTTTCTAAATGAGAGAATATAATCACAGGGTTACAAAAGGCTAAAAACTGAATTTGGGGGGATATATACATTTATAAATTGGTAAGTTGAAGAAGATCCAGCAAAATAAATAGAAAAAGAATAGTCAAAGAGGCAGGAAAACCAGGACAAGGTATTGTGGAAGCCAAAGGAAGAAAAAGTATCAGGAAGAAAGGGAAAGTTGAATGGTACCAAGTACTGTCATGAAGGAGTAACCTTGAGAAAAGGATTATTGGATTTGGTCATCAGTGTCACAGATCTAAACTGTGAAGGGACCTCCAAAGTCATCAAATCCAACCACCTTCATTTTACAAACTAGAAGGCTGAGCCCCAAAGAAGTTAAATGACTGGCCCACATTCACACAGCTGTCAGATATGGGATTAGAACCTATGTTTTCTGAATCTAGATTCAATGATTTTTGCATGATACATTGAGATCAAATACATGGAAGAGGTTAAAAAAAGTGGACGAAGATTTGACAATAAAAATCTTAGTTTAGCCCATACAGGTAGGTAATTTATAAAGTAAGGAAAGGGATAACAAAGGAGAGAAAAGTAAAGTACTGAAATCACTGGGCAATAGTGAATATCATACCAACAGGAGCAGAAAATCAGGGGAAGAAAAATATTAAGCGAGAAGAATTTTATATTTGAGGAGAGCCATTGACAGATTTTTCTTTAAAAGAGATAATATCTTAGTCCCTGATCTTAAGGAACTTAGTCTGATATGGAGGTACAGCAAATATTGGATATTTTCTCTCTATTCTCTTTTATTTTTCTTTCTAGGGTTTTTGATCTTATGAATGACCAGGAATAGTTGGTACACTAAATTTTTAATAGTGTCAGTCAATTAACTATCACTTAATAAATACCTGCTACTATGTGCCAGGCACTGTGCTAAGCTAGTGTCTGCCTCTTTACAGATTTTTAAGCAAATAGTTTAACCTCCACATTTTAGAGAATATATGCAACCATTTCTAAGAATTATAACCTCTGCTGGGGCCAAGTGATGGGACACTGTATCTTCTCTGTCATCCCTAAAGGACCTCTTTTCCCTGAGATCCTTTGCATAGTCTGGACAAGTTTCAATCCTGGGGAAAAGGGAAGGAAAGAGAATAAGCATTTATATGTTGACTATTGTGTGCAGGCACTGTGCTAAGCACTTTTTATAAATTTATATCTTATTTGATCCTCACAAAAATCCTGGAGTATAGGTGCTATTATTCACCTGATTTTAGAGTTGAGGAAACTGAGGCAAACAGAGGTTAAGTGACTTGCCTATGGTCACACAACTAGTAAGAGTGGGAGACAGGATTTGAACTTATCTTCCTCACTCTAGGTCCAATACTCTATCCTCTGTGTCACCAGCTGCTTTTAGGGGAATCTGATCATTTGAAATTCTTTTTTTATACTTTGTTTGTCAAGTTATATCCTCACCCCAGGACCCAGGAAATTTGCTTAAAGCTTAGTTTAGGTTCATGTCCAGAGTTATTTCCAAAGGGGAGAATAAAATGACACTCAAGGTACAATGTTAACCAGACATGGGGCAGGTATTTATTTCCTACACACAAAAGTAATGCTTAGCACCAAGTACACATCAGCAGAAGAAATAAATAGGTGGTAAGTAATAACACCTATTATACATGGAGGCTGAAACTTGCATATCAGAACCTGAAACAATTTGTGGGACTCCTGATTAGGGTAGGTCTATCTTACATTGCACTTTGGCTCAGCATTGTTTAACTTCTTCCAGTTCTGTGCCTTCCAGGAAGCCAGGCAAGGGCTTATGGAACATTTTTCCCTGGATGTTGACCACCCCTGGAGGGTCACACACTTTTTCTTCTGAGGAATGATGCAATACTTCTCTGGCTTCCTTTAAGTCCCAACTAAAAGTCCACCTTCATAGGAAGTTTTCCCTAACTTCTCTTATTCTAATGTTTTCCCTCTTTTAGTTATGTACTATTTATCCTGTATTGCTTTGTCTATATTTGTTTGCATGTTATCTCCCATTAGATTGTAAGCTCCTTGTGGGCAGGGACTATCATTTGCCTCTTTTTGTATTCCCAGCACTTAGAAAATTCCTGGCACATAATATAAGCTTAACACATATTTATTTAATGAATAAATGAATATGATGCTTGCTCAGAGAAGCTGATCTCTTAAGCTTTTCCTCTCTATTTCCCTCCAAGAAATACAGCTGTAAGGCACTTATGGCTCCAAGTACCTCCTCACCAAGGGAATGTGTTTTGATGAGAACCTTCACTTTCCCTTCTGGCTAAGATCAATCTCCTACATCTTGCCATACTGATCCCTTCCCTCTTCTGTTTTACCTTGCTTTCTTATAGTAATGCATAGTTGTCAAAATTGTATAGAGATTTTTATTTCTTTTCAACTTACAACTCGACTGGGTGAAAGTACATCTCTAGCTTTGGTGTGTTCTCTTGCTTTTTCAATCCCCATTCAAGAAACTTCTTTCTTTGTCATCAACCAAAAACAAATGCACAAAAAACAAAAACTAAAACAAAACATTGAATATCTTAAAGGGAATGTGGACTTTGTTTCATAGAATATTAATTCAGTTATTTTTCCTTTTAGAGCATCATAGATTTAGAATTTGAAGAGACTTAGAAGGCCATCAAATCCAATCTCTTCATTTTATAGCTAATGAAAATGTGGCTGGGGGAGATGAAATGATTTCTATAATCTTATAAAACAAAGGTCATATAGCTAGTAAGTATATCTCAGGCAAAATTTGAATTCAGACCTTCCTGGGTCTAAGCCCAAAACTTTACCTAATGTGCTGTTTTATTCATTTACAGAACTTTTAAAATTTTACCAAAGTCTATCACACAAATCTTTTTCCCCTTAATGTTTCCTTTTTGTTATTTGTTTTAAAAGATATTGTTTAAAAATAATATTTTATTTTTCTTCCAACTACATGTTAAAACAATTTTAACATTTTTTTCAAATTTTGAGTTCCAAATTCCCTCCCTACCTCACTGCCCCCCATTGAGAAGGCAAGTAATTTGACATACTTTATATATACTCCATTTCTATGTAAGTCATGCTGTGAAAGAAAACAGACAAAAAACACTCCAAGAAAAATAATGAAAAGAAATATGCTTCAATCTGCATTCAGGTTCAACCAATTCTTTCTCTAAAGATGGACAGCACCTTTCATCATAAGTTCTTCAGGATTGTCTCGTATCATTGTATTTCTGTATTGCTGAGAATAGCTCTATTATTTACAGTTGATCATCATACAATATTGCTGTTATTGTGTACAAGGTTCTTCTGGATCTGCTCATTTCACTTGGCATCAATTCATGTAAGTCTTTCCAGGTTTGTTTGTTTTTTTTTTTTCTGAGAGCGCCCTGCTCATCATTTCTTATAGCACAATTGTATCTTATCACAATCACATACAACAACTTGTTCAGCCATTCCCCAAATGATGGACATCTCAATTTTCAACTCTTTGCCACCACTAAAAGAGCTGCTATAAATATTTTGTACATATAGGTCCTTTTTTATCTCTTTGGGATGCATACCTAATACTGGCATTTCTTGGTCAAAGCATATGCATGTTTTTTTTTACAGTCCTTTGGGTGTAGTTACAAATTGCTCTACAGAATGGTTGAACTAGTATACAATTTCACCAATAGTGCATTAGTGTCTTGATTTTCCCACATCAACTTCAACATTTGTCATTTTATTTTTTTGTCATATTAGCCAATCTGATAGATGTGAGATGGTTGCTCAGAGTTGTTTCAATTTGCATTTCTCTAATCAATAGTGATTTAGAGCAATGTTTTATAAGATTATAGATAGTTTTGATTACTTCATCTGATAACTACCTGTTCATATCCTTTGATCATTTATCAATTAATTAATAGCTCTTATTTCTATAAATTTAGCTCAATTTTCTATATGTTTGAGAAATGAGGTCTTTATCAGAGAAACTTGTTGTAATTTTTTTCTCACTGTAATGATTACTAACTACATATTTCCCTCTGTACTAATTTCTCCGTTTATCCTACTTTCTCTCTCCATTCACCCTATCCATTCTCAAAAGTGTTTTGTTTCTGACTTTTACTTCCCCCAATCTGCCCTCTCTTCTATCACCTCCTCCCCTTTTCTTACCCCCTTCCCTTCCTACTTTTCTGAGTGTGTGTGTTATTCCCTCTTTGAGTCAATTCCAATGAGAGTAAGGTTCAAAAAATGAAACACTTCATGAATTTGTGTTTCATCCTTGAGAAAGGGCCATGCTAATCTCCTCTGTATCATTCCAATTTTATTACATGTGCTGCTGAAATAAGAACTTCTTTGTTCTTTTAAAAATATATTGATCTCAATTTTATTTTTATATAATAATTTTGTCTTGCCCTAGAAGCATGAAATAATTGATTTCATTGCTTATCTTTTCTTGAATGACTGTAAGTCAAACACTTCACTTCTGATTTCTTTTGAAGGAATAACTCAAATTCCTCTTTTTTATTATTGAAAGTACTTCAGATGATTAGACTCAGTTTTGTAGGATCTCATTTGGGGATATTTTCTTTTTTTGGGGGGGGTATTATATCCCAATCTCTCTCTCTCTCTCTCTCTCTCTCTCTCTCTCTCTCTCTCTCTCTCCTTCTTAAAGATGAAGAATAGAAGCCCTTTTCTTGACTGCTTATAAAATTTGTTGTATGACATTGGAATTCTAAAATATATTTATTCATTCAAGTTTTAATGATGGGATTTTCCTTTCCATCCATCTCTGGGATCACTCAGTCACTGCTTTGCCATCTTTTTTCCAAACCTCCTAATAATTCACCTATATGATAGCCTAAAATGTATACTCAGGCATTTAAATTATTTGTATTTTTTCTGGGTTACCAATAACAAATTGTCACCATGCCTTCTGTCTTCAGAATCAGTCACTTTGGCTAGTATAAAGTTCACGAATTCTTTCAAAGTTGTCTTTTGTTTTGCTCTGGACACATTTTGCCTCTCTCTGTGTGAATTTGATTATATTTCTGTATTTTTGAGATTCAAAGGTTTCATTTTCTTTTTCAGCACCACTATTATTTTGGAGTGATTATCTGTCATGTGTTCTAATTTTCTTGCCCTATTGCTTATTTATTTCTTCTCTGATAGCTCTGATTCATAACTTAACTTCCAACCCAACTTCTTCTAAATATATTTTTCTCTTTTGAACTATTCTGAAAATTCTTTTTATAGTTTTATTATTGCTGGAACTTATATGTTTCTTTTTTTTACTTTCTTTATATATTTTTTGCTTTTATTTCACTTTCCTTTAAAGTATAATATTCATTCATTATGTTGTAGACTTTTCTGGAATACTTGTTCGTTTTTCTTTCTTCCTTAAGAGTCTCACTGTTACTTTATCTGCATGGGAACTGGGCCTATACTAAGCCTTTCTCTCTTGGTCTTTTTGTCCTTTTGCTTTTTCCTTCTATTCTAGGCTTCTTTCCTCACTTTTTAGCCCAGAGGTGTCATATGGTTCAAATGAAATAATGACTGTAAAGCAATTTGCAAATATTAAAGTGCTATATAAATGCCTATCATTATTATTATTATTGTTATTGTTATTATTATTATTAGCCTATAGTTATCAGGCCCCTGGTATGATGATGTTTTAATTCCACAAATCTTCAACTATATTCCTGATGAGCTCAAGCAATGTTTATACAGCAATACAAGTGGTATGTTGGTAAATATTCAACAACTGAGCTGGGTGGTGGGGAATATATACACACACTTTCCTGTTTAATCTGTGTTATTAATACTTTCTTACACCTGCACAATCAACCCCCCCCCCCAAAAAAAAACAAGCCCTGATATGTAGCAACTGCTGAAGTATAAGGCTGTTACTGAAAATTTCACAATAGATTTTTTTTTGGAAGCAATTGGGTTTAAGTTATTTGCCCAGGATCACACAGCTAATAAGTATGTGAGGTTGGAGTTGAGCTGAGTTCTGTATCTCTATCCACTGTACCACCTAGCTGACCTTCATAACAGACACTTTTAGGCTAATGTGAGCTGTTCCAACACTTCTAGTGGGGTCTTAGCCCCACCCACTTCCACTGCCTTGGAACACATTTCTTTTGCCCATATTCCTTGAAACTGGCATCCCTCAGTCTCATTGAGTTTGGAGATATAGATCTGTGTACAATTGCTGTTCCTCCATGAAATACAACTGACCACACTTAAGTTTATAGATCCTTTTCCCTTGGACATGGAAACTTCTTTCTCTCTATCCAATTTTTCACTTCCGGAGATTTCTTTCTACTCCTTACAGTTACATCCTCTTCCCATCATCTGTCTGAGTAGAATCAGTATTTTTTACCTATTACAGGGAATGGGAGGGGGTGAGGGAATTGAGCCATCCTGAGAGAGCCAAGGAAAGTTGGGGAGTGGATGATTTTGGTAGCTCAGCCCGCTAGTATTATTTCAGAAGGCTTTGTTGTTTGGAAGTGTTTCTGTCTTCTCTTCTTGCCATCTTTTTTTTTCCTATTGTAGATGCAACATTCCTTGTGTTTTAAGGTTTCTGAAGTGGGGAACTTAGGTTGCAAATATTTGTACCACCAGCTTGCCACTCATATGTCTACCCAGCACTATAATTTTCTAGGGTCTGGGTTTCAGAAGATCTGTGTTCAAGTCTTCATGGTTTCCCCTATGAACTTTGTGGTGAAAGGCAGTATAGTTCAATGGAAAGAGCACAGGCTTTAAACCAGAAACCTGAGACTCAAATCCTCATAATTTTGTGACTTTGGCATGTTACCTAACCTATCAGGACCACAGTCTCCCTATCTGTGAAATGAGATTTGGTGTTTTAGGCCAATGTTCCTATGACCTTGGACAGGTCAAATAACCTCCACCTACTTCAGTTAGCTCGTCTGTAAAAGAAGAACAGCATAGTTTCAATACCATCCCTCTAAGGTTGTATTGAGCAATAAAGTATAGAAAGCACTTTGGAGTCATAACTGTTTTTTAAATGTAAAAACGAAGGGCTGAGAATACAGCTCTGATAGCAAGGAATGTTCCTTCTGGGACTTTGAAGGAAAAATCAAGGAAAAATAATTAGATCTAGTTACAAAATATCTCCCAAGTAGGCCTGTTTCTATGGACGAAGTTCTTTTGTGACGACTCAAAGTCACATAACATAATTCAGGATTAGTATTTAACCTGAACTCCAGTTGTGCATAAACCTGGGGGAGAAAACTTCCAGTCTACATAGAGAAAACATCATCTATTCTCATTATTTCCTAATATCAACATGCAGGCTTTGTTAAGTTTCGATTGCCCAGGGACATGATGTTTCTATGCTTGGAACTGCCTTCCTGCCAGGAAGGTAAAGCACATAGTGAATTGCCCGCAGCATCAAAATCCATTGTGACATCTTGATATGTAAACATGCTGCTGAAAGATTCCATAATTGCACTCTTGGTTTTGATTTCACCATATAAAATTTGGGGAATTTTTACTTCACTTTAAAAACAAACAAACAAAAAAAACAAACAAGAAAATGCAGTTGAATTGTTGAACAATTCAACAATTGTTGAACAACTTTGAAGGAGGGTTTGCATAAAACAGGGAGAGAGTATATACACTTAGATTCAATAAAAAGCATGAAAATTTAATTAAAGACTGTATGAACAAGATTACTTCCTAGGTAGGAACTAGTCCAGCAGATGGGTTCAATTCTTATTTGCTGATATTCTATCACCTATCTATCTATCTATCTATCTATCTATCTATCTATCTATCTATCTA